TGTGTGTGTGTGTGTGTGTGTGTGTGTGTGTGTGTGTGTGTGTGCATGTAGAGATCAGGGGAACAACTATCTCTCCTTCTACCATGTGGGGCCCAGGGATCTAACTCAGGTAATCAGGCTTGGCGTCAGGCATCTTTACCCACTGATGCATCTCACTGGCACAGGAACCACCACACATTGCTGGTGAGGTATAAAAAGGTACAGTCATTTGGTAGATCATTTGGCAGCATCCTATCAAACTAGATGTGCTTTATGATCACAGTCCAGCAGTTGAACTCTTAGGTATTTACCCAGATCAGCCAAGAAACATACTCACACAAAAACCTGCTCCCTAATGTCTGTAACCTCTCTATTTATAGTTGTCAAAATTTTGCAAGCAAATAAGATCTCTTTCAGTGGGATTAAGAAGAAATAAATTGTGCCACATGGATGTATGATGGAATAACTGTTGGGCATGAATAAGTAATGAGCTGTTGAGTCATAAAAATGAGACAGAAGAAAGTTAAATGGGCATGAAAAGAGAAAAACTAACCCAAAATAGCTTCATGCTGCCTGAGCCCAAGCACAGAGCATTCCAGAAAAGACAGAACAATGGAGACACTAAGAGACCGGTGACAACCAGGCCTGGTGGAGGGGAGTAAATGGGCAGGGCACTTGCACAGCAATGAAACTGCTCTGTGCTGCACTGTCACCGGGTACCTGTCATCCCTGTCTTCCAAACCCCATAGGCTGGGAACACCAAAAGCAGACCTTACTGTGAACCACGGATGGGGGGATGATGTGCTACTTGTGGATGCATTATGTCAGTTGTCACGTCCATTGTGACAGATGAGATTCTGGGGAACAAATCTAGATATTGGTACAGACAATGCATTGTGTATGGAGAAGGGATAATTCTGTACCTTCTGTTAAGTTTTTCTATGAACCTAAAACCACACTAAGAATTAAAGTTTGTTAAATAATTTCTAAGGAAGATTGAATAATATTTAGAAGTCTCACTTCCATTTTTCCAAGCTCTGCCTTTTCATTTAAGCATATTAATTGATGGTGATATTTTCCTTTTTAGCTCTTTACTCTTAGCAAGAATTCTTCTTGTTACTACACACTACTGGCATGACCAACACAGCTTAAAGCTCATCTCTATTAATGGATCATGCATACTACTATACAACCCAGCATGAATTCAGCTCAGGCACTAGAACAACTCCAGCATGTTAATCTTGCATGTTTGTGGGATCATAGTTCTATTGGTGAGAAGAGCAGCCACTGTGGTGACGATCCTCACAGAACCAGGCTCCTGACAGCTGCCATCAACACATTAACTTAGTACTACCACAAATTCTGCTTTGCGAAGCCCAAGCCTGGAACTTCCAGTTACAGTGTGCTGTAGTTTAGATCTGGAAAGGCATTCAAGCTAAAGGCTTGGTTCTTAGCTGGGAGCTAGTGAGTGTTTGTGAAGGCTTTACTGGATGGGGCCCAGGGGAGGATTTAGGTCAGCAGGGACCTTCTGCTGCAGCTTTCTCTGACCTGTTGTAACTGACAGAGACAAAGTGGACATGAAGGACCCTGAAAGGAGCTGTTGCTTCTCTGTGACCACACCCTTGACAACTTGAGGAAAGAAGAGGCATCGATCAGACATGCTAGGACATGAAAGGGAGTCCGAATGAGCCACCTAGGACGGGAGAGGTAATAGTGGCAAAGTCAGAGACCTCAATGACAGACCCACAGAAGGCAAGAAGAGCCATGGGTACCAGTGGAAAGAAGAGGACGTTGAAGAAAGATGTTCTTTAGCATTCGTGTGTGTGTGTGTGTGTGTGTGTGTGTGTGTGTGTGTGTGTGTGTCTGTCTGTCTGTCTGTCTGTCTGTGTCTGTGTGTATGTGTGTCTGGGGAGTATGCTTGCCTGTGAGGGCATGTTGTCATTCAGTGTCTTCTTCAGTTGTCTTTCCACTTTACTTATTGAAACAGGGTCTGTCACTGAACCTGGGGCTTGGTGTTTTGCTCATTTTGTTTGGAGTCGCTGGCCATGACCAGGGGTCCCCCCCCCCACTGGACTAATAGGCATGACCTGCTATGCTGAGCTTTTGTATATGGTGCTGGGGATCCAAACTCAGCCTTTCATGCTTGAGCAAGCAGACATCTTACCTACTGAGGTATCTCCCCAGCCCCAGCTTGGAAGGAACCTAGTTTTCTTCTTTTTAACAGAAGAAAGCCGATTCCTCAGTGTAGAGAGAGGTGTATGTATACCAACCAGGGAATCCATTAGTGATCCAGGCTTGGTAGCTACACCTCACAGCCTCCCCCAGGGTCCTTGCAGTGTACCTGGCATGCGTGGCTTCTGGTAGCTGGAGATCACTGTCTATGATAAGCTATGTTGCTTTCTATGAAGCAGATGGATTTTGTATCAAGGGGTCTTAATTACAAGGCTGTAAATATGTCAAAGAGGTCTGACAGCACCTTATTAAATTACAGACCTGAGCTCAAGTGGCTTCTGATGCTGGCACGGTCCCCGAAGGAGTCTTACAGTCACTGCCAACCCAGCCTTTCGTCCCCTTTCCCTGTCCCGCTTCCCTTTTAAATTCTGTTAATTATAAGAAACAGTGCATAGGAATGAACTATAAATCAAATTATGAAAACACATTAGAAATACTTCATTTACAGTGTTTGCCTTATTTTTTCCTTTCATTTCTTTGAAGGATGGTACAATTTAATCTCTAGAGACACCTCTTTGAGTGCTAAATAGAAAAGAAAAGCAAATTTTAAATGAGACACTAACTTGTGGCTGATATTTTAAATTATATTTCCCAGGAAATAGGACATAGTTTCAAATTTGCTTTGTGTGTATGTGTGAATGTGTGTACAAGTAAGTGTGTGTGATCACATGTGTGTATGAGTTAGTATGTGTGTCTGAATGAGTAAGTATGTGTATATGTGTGAGTATGTGTGTGTGTGTATGAGTGAGTGTGTCTGTCTGTATGTATGAGTGTGTGTATATGTGTCTATGAATGAGTGTGTTTGTATGAGTGAGTGCGTGCAGATGTGTGTGTGTACTCATGCACATACAAGTGTGAAATCCAGAGGTTAACTTGGAGGCATCTTCTGTCACTCCCTACCTTATTTTTTTGAGATAAGGTCTCTCTCTGTCCCCAGTGCTTACCTTTTCAGCTAGGCTGGCTAGCTCATGAGATCCATGTCTCAGCCTCCTCCAGTGCTGGGGTTACAGGCATGGGTAGTCATGTCCTGGCTTTTTTTTTTTTTTTTTTGGTTTTTCGAGACAGGGTTTCTCTGTGTAGCTTTTTGCCTTTCCTGGAACTCGCTTTGTAGACCAGGCTGGCCTCGAACTCACAGAGATCCGCCTGCCTCTGCCTCCAGAGTACTGGGATTAAAGGCGTGCGCCACTACCGCCCGGCATGTCCTGGCTTTTTATGAAGGTGCTAGGACTCATGTCACCACTGAGCCAACTCCCCAGCCGCCCTCCTTTCTCTCCCTCTCTCTTTTAAAACACAAGTGTAAAGAGGCAAGTGCTTAGAAATACCTGGCACGTTGACTGTGGTGCCCTGAGAAAACCGCGGCTGATAGGCATACAAACATGACCTATGCAAATCCTCAGTGAAGGCTGCTGGGGTCTTTGCCCTCAGTAGGGACCTAGGAAATGTCCAGGTTCCATCTTTTCCTAATCTCATTTTACTGTGCTCATACTGGGGTCCAACAGAGCAGATTCTTACGATATCCCAGAGAATATTCCACCATGCCTCTCCTTCTCTCCCTCCTCCTCCTCTTCCTTCTTCCCTCCACTTCTTCCTCCACGCCTTCTTCTTCTTTTTTGACTTTTCGTTTGTTTGTTCTACTCATCTTTTGTGATGCAGGGGATGGAACTGAGCGAGGGGCTTGCGCATGCTAGGCGAGCACTCTGCTGCTTAGCCACACCCCTGGCCGGCTGTGTCCCACTGTCCTTGAGGAGAACCCTCTCTCTCCTCACCCCTCTCTAAAGCACACATGTTAATGTATGTTTCCTTTTAAGATGGGCATGGAGGCAACTTCAGATGTTCATAACTTAGGGAATTTTAAACAAGAAATTGATTTAACCAGTGATGGCGGAGCTGAGGAGCCAAACGCGGGGCCGAGGGGGAGCCGAGAGCTCAGTGAAGGCAGGCATGCTTCCATTTCTAGCTGTGCAGGTGCCGTTTTGTTTGACTCCTGCAGCAAGTCCTCAAGGCCTGTCGGGGATTCAAAATGTGGCAGGCACATGCAGGTATCACATGCTCTGTGGGCTGAGGCAGGGGGATGTGCTCTAACAGCTGGAAGGGAAGACTGAAGGATGCTTCCTGGTGCTTCCCAGGTCCCTATGGGAACCAGCTAAAGGATGCTTTCCTGATGTCATTTTGCCTGAACTTCTAGGAAGCAACCTAAGTTCTGGCCACTTTGTGAGTGGATCTTGATGCACATTTTATTCTCTTAGAAATAACATTTTACAGAAGCTTTCTTTCCTCTCAGGAAGCCAGTGAGCTGTGTTTATTTAGGAACAAAGGACAGGGGTGAGCTTTGAGAGGGAAGCAGATTGCTCTTCTAATTTAAGTTCAAATTCACTGATCAGTCTTTTTTTTTTTTTTTTTTTCTCGAGACAGTTTTTTTCTGCATAGTTGGTACCTGTCCTGAATTTCGCTCTGTAGACCAGGCTGGCCGTGAACTCATAGAGATCCGCCTGACTCTGCCTCCCGAGTGCTGAGATTAAAGTCGTGCGCCACCACCGCCCGGCCCACTGATCAGTCTTTTAAAAACACGTATGTGTGATTATCTGCCAGATGTGCCTATATGTACAACATGCATGCCAGGCGCCTATGGAGGCCAAAAGAGGGCATTGGAGCCATGGTACTGAGGTTACAGACGGTTGTGGCAGCCCTATATGCCCTGGGAACCGACCTTGGGTCAGTTCAACCACTGAGCCATCTCTCTGGCTCTATTGATCAGACTTTTGACAAAAATTTTTGCTTCAATTATGGTAAAGGCCAAATAACAAGGCCACAAAGAGTCGGGTGTCTGCCTTCCCCTCTTTTCCATGTCCCCACATGCTTCTCCTGTCCCTAGGGTACTTAGTGTCACAGATGTTCTACACTCTTTATGTCTTAGCTTTAACTTGACCACTAGATCATACTTAAAAGGATTAGGTTTAAGTCATTTGCAGCTTAGAACATATGTAAACCAATGAACTATCTTTATGGTTGCCTAATATGTCTACGCAATGAAACTGACCCTGACGTTAGCTCTAATTTGGGTGGGAAATATTAAAATTAGATCATAAATAATGACAAGAGACAATATTTATAAGTAGCCTGAATATAGAATATTTCAAAAACAGTGTTTGGATAACCAGTCTGAAAATTTAGGAGGAACTTTTTAAAATTTTAAAATAAAAACAAATTTTGAAAGGCCACATAGCATGAAGTCATAAGATAAAGTTTAATACATTTGATCATGTTAAGACACAAAACACAGCCAATCTAATCAAATTTCAGGCATGCATTTACATAAATATATTAAATTAAGAAAAGAAATTATACACTTAAAACATCCTTTCACCTAAAAAACATTAAATCCACAGATCAACAATAAAGCCAATTCTCTGCATTTACCACTTCTTCAAGATACAGTTGTTCTATTTTAAAGATAACACAAATACACTTGTTAGAATTTATATGCATTATACATATATCATATATTACATAGATAGTGTGTATACATATGTAGTGTTTGTACAGATAGATAAATATATATATATACATGGGTGTGTGCTCATGCACAGATACACACAGATGTACTTGAGGCCATCTGTCCATCTGTATTACTGCTGGAGTCTGAGGCTGAGCCAAACTGGGGCTAGTTGGATGTGAGATTCTCTTTTGCTTCACACATGATAACCATCCCAGCGAATGTACAGCCCTGCGCTGGAGGATGCCCTTGCCTTCTCTGCAGTGTGAAAGTATGCAAGGCACTTCAGCATTTATATTGCATTAATGAAGAGACGGGTGACTGAATAGTAGAAGATCAATCAAGGAACACTGCATATTTTTACAAACTGATTTAGTGAACCAGATTTGTCCAAACTCGGGGGGATTGTGTGAACCAGTAATTGTGCATATTAATTTTTAGAACATTTTAGAAATCAGAGTAGTTCCTATACTAGTTCTGATCCTTTCAGCTTGCATCTGGGTTTACTAACTGTTCCTACTCTCTGCTGCCTCTTATTAACAGAAACCCAAGGATGAATTGGTTCTGAACGTCCTGTAAGATTATGGACAGACTGCTTTAACTGTCAATAGCCTGAAGGAAACAGACAACTCAAAACACCAAAACGTGAGAAGAATGGAACACAAAACCACCTCTTAGCACTTAACAAAATCTATCACAGACAAATCCAAGGAGGACACAAGGTTTTCCTATTAGAATTCTTTTATGCTTATGGCCATGATTCAATAATTTTTTTCGTTGTAATTAGACAGATATATTTTAAATAATAGTCTGTTGCAGCATGTTCCAGGGAATCAAGTTTCCAAAATTCTACAGTACTTCAGTATTACTGTTACTTCATGGTTCTTAGTGACACGCACGTCCACACACATCTGCTGGCTAGAATAAGATATGGGGATATCTGATATCTCATGAGGCTGTCAGTTTAGTTTCTCAAAAAATAATATTGTGAAATAAACCCTCTGAACATGGATTCTTAGTTCATTCCAGAAAATTCATGCTCAGATTTTAAGATTGTGGAATAAAGAAACATCCAATGTTTATTCTGGCACAGACCATACCAAGCCTAATCATACCTTCTTCATGTGAATGGAAACTACTGACTAGTTATTTTCAGTACAGACAGAAATTATCAAGAATGAACTTCTAACTGTGAAGAAAAAGCTTATATTGTATTTGACAACTGTGAATTTCCCATCACAATATATAGTGTACATATATTATTGAGATATAATATACATAGACTATAGAGAAAAATTAAATATATACATTAGATTACATATATATTAGAAGATAAAAAGTTATTCTTTTTACTTAAAAGACAATAGCCAACTGAGATAATATACTTTATATAGGTATGTTCACTTGCCAGCATACGTATTTCAAATCTATAAAGAATACATATTCAAAAAAGAAAACCCTGAATAAACAGTAACATCTTACTTTGTGATGTGCATGAAAGATTACTTTAGAATGAATGCTGAATTGGTGCCATTTTTTAAAATTTTGCTGTTGACTGACAAATGAGAAGTTTTAGGTATAAGGCTTTTTATTGATGTGAGGAATCTATTACTTAGTTGCATCTTTCCAACTGGTTTATACATGCCCTACATAAATTGCATGGGAAAACAAGGTAAATGATGGGTAGATCTTAGCTTCATACTTAATAGAACTTAAGAAAATGCCAACTCATAAATAAATGAATCTCTCCAAGGCTACTAGAATTGGAATCAAGCAGGTTACTCCCCTTCATTTTCCCATGAGTCCTTTGCACTCCCCTAGAAGGCAACCTCAAGCCCATTCCAGAAGTTACTCAGAGGAGATGGAAACAAGGAAGATAGGCAGAACTTGGCGAGACCTGCATCTGACAGGCTCCAAGAACATGTTTTCAACATCTGTATGTGTCTACTCTTGGGCTTCCTATCTTATCTCACGTCATACTACCAATCAGATGTGTGGCCAATTTGTGCTGGCATGACAAAGAAAGAGAGCTAATGCATGTCTCAAATATGGAAAGAGGAACTTTCTGATGGGAATCCATCGGCATTCCCAGAAACAGTGCCACTGATTTCCTCAGGGAATAAAAATATGTTCATTTTCTGGGCATCTAAATTTGGTTGCATTCTCTGACATGAGGACCTCATGGCAGGGAGGATAAGTGTCTGAGGTTGTCATCACCAGGACACTAGCTAGCTTCCTTTCACATGGACTTGGAATGGCTTTCTTCAAAGTAGACTCTGTGGAGATGGTTGTCACTTTGGTAGGAACTAGCTAGGAATGTCCCTCCTGTCAGCTCAAGCTCTCTACTAGGGTGAAGATCCTTGTTTTCCCTCTGATTTTGCTAGAGGACTGACATGGGGCACTTCCACTGGTGGATATGTGCGCTTTTCCTCATTCCTTTCATGACTGCAGTAGACTAACCCGGTATGCTGGTTCTCTGCTCTTCTCAATGATATGGAAATGAAGTCAACATTGACTCCAGGAGAGAAAACAAAGGAAAATAAACTCCACAAAAATGGTATTTGTCCCAGGTTTCATGATGGGCACTCATGATATGTCTGTTTAGTGAAAAGCAACATAAAATGCAGGAAAGTGGAGGAAGACAAGATTCAAAGAGAGATGGGTAGAGAGATATGGGTGAGAGAGAGAGAGAGTAGAGAAGGGTGAGAGAGAGAGAGACCTTAGGTAATGTTCTAGACAGAAGTAAGGAAGTAAGATGATGCACCTCCTCTAATCTGGTTGGTATACTTCCTCCCCTCACCAACTTAAACTGGACTTCTTTCATGTGCCAAGAGAAAGTAGAGCGACTCCTTACACATTAGTGTGTGCTTGGGAAGACCTCAGCCCAGCGTCTCACCTCATTTCTCATCCTGAGTAGATTTGTTAGCTACTTTGTGGTTCAGATATTAAAACAAAAGTCAGAAACAAATGTACTAAATAGCAGTATGATATCCCAAGACAGTCAACAGGAAAGCCATGACTACTCAGAGGTATTCAAATGATAATGAAATAGTTTTCTAGCTGGGTTTTGTAGACATGGGTACATTTCTTTGCCTACCCTTCATGAAATTGATCAGTTAAATTGTAGAAACTTCTGAGTAAAGCTTGTGAAATATTTTCCAATACCTTAAGTAAGATTCTAAGATGAAAAGGTATAGACAGAAAGATTTTTGTTGTCACTGAACTTTCTTAAATGTCCCCCCTTTTCACTTTATTATATGCCAATTTAGTTCCTATCATTGCTTTACATGCTTTGAATCAGGGCAAAAGTTTGGCAACGATACCGGTGGGAAGGTCACTTCACATTCAGCTGGTACTCTAGCTTAAGCTCTAGGATGGACAGGGAACAACAGTAACTGTCATACACATTAGCATTCACGTGAATGACATCATTCTTCCATTTTAGATTGTGTACTTTGTTAGATGGGTAGATTTTGACCTTTAAATGATTAAACATTTATTTTTCTTAGCTCACACTTTTTAAACCATTTCCTATCTATCTATCTATCTATCACAAATCATTTGTGATAATCCCCAGTCATACATTTAAAAATCAGCTTCAAGGAATAGGTCAAAGAAAATTTTGGAATTGGTCACATAGTCTAAAACACACAGTCATCCATCAATCATTGCTATCTATTTTTCTCCTAAGGACAGAAAGAAAGAAGTCTAGGGACTTTCTTTGCTTGGGTTAAATATCCATGGATCTTACTATCTTCTTTAAAGAGAATTTGGTATTTCATTTGAATAGCTCATTCTAGAAAAGGCAATGGCATCTGGGGTACACAATGATCACTAAGTCACTTGAGAAAAGGTTATATGTAAAGCAGCTCTGGGATGGCCAGCTTCATCTAGGTTGTTTGAGTAGAAGGCCTCCCAATGGAACATCTTCTCTTTAAGATGTGAAAGAAGCACTTGGGCTTTGAGACTCCGCTGGCTTTCCAGGGGTATCCTTCTTGTTTTTGCTCAAACTATAAATGGGGGGTATGTGCAATAAAACTGTACGATTTGACAGATTTAGACAGCTGGCTTCTTCACGAGATGTTCACATTCTGCCAATGTCACCCACAATGAATAAGGGATGATTTGATAATAAGGTTGTCAGGGCAGTTTTTCCTTTTTTGAAATTGTAAAACTTTCTGTGATGGAATTCAGTAAAAGGACTATGAAGAGAAAGCAACGGAGACAAAAGATTGCTATTAACCTACAGATGCAGGCTACTGCATGGTTCATTGCAAGATTTGTCACAGTGTTGGGCCAATGAAGTGCTGCTGAGACCAGAAGGGACCACCCCTTTTCTGGGGTAAGAGGGCAATTTGGTCTCCATGCTCATTTAGTCCCAAGACTTCTTTGAATAGACTGTCAATTGAACCTAAATTGTGCAAAATTATGCATGCACTTTTTAATGCAGGCTATTGTTCACTAAACACCAAGATTTCTCAACCCATTTCCATTGGTATGAGGTCACTGGAAACCCAAGGTATCATATATGGAAGACAGGAGCAGTGGAAACAACCAATTGTTCCATGGCGTGGATTCCTTAGAATTCCTTAGACTCCACAATGTAATTGCAGCTCTCTCACAACAGAAGAATACTAGCTGGGAGCCTGTTGTTGTTTCATAATTAAGACTCATATTCCTAAGGATGAGGCGCATGTGTGCAATAGCAGCCAGTACTGAACACTTCGGTGAGTCTACAATTTGGATTCCAGAGGAATGCATGTTGTGGTAGAGGGTGTGTGCTTATCATGGTCAGTAGTACAAAATCCCTTATACTTAGTTAAAATCCAAACATGGAGAGAATGGCAAATGGAAAACCATTAAAAAAATGTCTGTCAGACTCTTGTATTTAAAGTTAGAGTACATCATTTCTTTAAGAAAATCTGAACAGAACATTTGCAGAAAATTTATTGAGGCAAGAACCAAAGGGTATTGTCACAGCATCCTGAAGGAACATATGTAGTAGAAGTCAGATTTGCCAAGAATGAAGATCTTAAGAATCTGTGTGTTTGGCAGCTTACACACAGCCTGCGTTGACTGTGAATGAGCAAGCTCTTCTCCATGGAGGGCGGATTCAGAGTGCACACTGGAACCTTCTAATCCCACAGACTCTGACAGTCTTGCTATGGTGAGAGCATGTTACAAGTGTGCAAAGCTGGGATTCTGTAAGGACTGGCTTTTTTCTTGCTTTTCGTCCAACCAGCGTGATTACATGTTGACACAAGGAAACTAGATTAGATCCACAGCACGTTAAAGGCTGTTTGCTTTCTTACTCTCCTTCTTTCCAATTAAGTTGGTGAAAATGTAACTTTAGTATTTTACAGGACAGGGTAAAGGTGTTTCATCTAGGTGATGTCTATATTATAAAAATAAAATAAAAAAAATAAATATGCAACACAAACCCAGTGCTTATTGTTACACAAAATGTACACTAGAAGCAGTCCATTCAGGAAAATTGCTTTTTCAAATAGGTCATTCTGATTTAATCATAAAACATTTGAAAACCATCTTGAGATTAAGCTGAAGTAACCAGATTGCTCTGCCAAATAAAAAGGTAAGTGTGCAACGTTCTGTAACAAGATATGTCAACAGAAATGCAGATTACAAACTTACATCACATTACTTGTTCAGAAATTCACCAAGGAGTTTGGAAACATGCTCTCTTATTATAGACCTTTAATATAAAAATATTTCCACCACATTGCACAACACATTTCAAAACACTACCATGGTCAACTTTAGTAATTACAGACAGAAATTACCCGGGAACTAAAAGAATATCTTCTGATGCCATAAAAACCTCTGTGATAATTCACAGCGGAACTTCTGTATGAAGTACTCCACACCAGGAAGTAGATATTAAAAAACAAAACAAAACAAAAATCTGTTATACAACCTTGAGTTTGGGGCCTGTGAGTGCACGTGTGGATGCGTGTATGTGAACAAATGTGCCAACATACACACTGAAATCTGCACATTTCTGGAAACTGCTTTTAAATTACTAAATGAAAATGAACTCATGGGAGTGTGTAGCGGGAGGATAGTCTCTCTTTTTAATGACAAGATCAAAATAAATGCCCACCAGGAAGGAATATTCAAACTGTCCCAGAAACTATACAATGTAACTTGTGAGATCCAGCAAATAAGATGTCATGTCAATGATCTGATCCAGAATACCTGCCCTGGCAACTCTGCGGATGCTTCTGTCCACTTGTTCACACTGAGGACCAAGATAGCCTTTCTTACAGAGGCACTTGTTGGGTCTGACGCAGACACCTCCGTGACGACATGCTGGCTCACATTTGGCTGCAAGAAAGAAAACACCATGGTATTCTTAATCTTCGTGTGAGAAGCCATGTCATGTATGAGATCAGGTACTTGATGAATAAGGAAAGGTGGTAAAAGAAGCCGGAAGACAGTCACAAAGTGATTGGGGAAGGGTACACAAGCAGGACAGTTTCCAGACCCGAGCTAACGGTCCAGATGTCGGCACACTGAGAAGCCGAGCTCCTGAGAAATTATCGCGGTCACCTGCAGAACTGACACTAACAGCAATGTCGGCCCTTTCAGCTCCTGCTCAACGGGGCATTTCAGCCAACAACAACTCCATTCCTTCAGGGCAGGACCTCATGGGAAGCAGGCTGGCCTTGAGAAAGGGCCATTGGCTGGAGCAGTTCCAATGTGACACTGAAATAAGGTCAGTTTGGGGAAGAAGTTTCGTGCAGTATCTGTTCTCCCTGGCATCCCCGCTTTCCCTTGCTAAGACAGGGGATGCATGGGACACATTGCTCTCTGATTATGCCTGAAGCCCCATCCTGGGAGTACAAGAGACTGGCAGAGGACGTTCTGAACAATGCTCTTTAGGGCTATTTTACAGCATAGTCTCTATTAAATCATTTCCCTACTACCATCTAGGAAGAGAATGTGAAGCTTTACTGCCATAAAGGTATGGAGAGACACAGTTTGGTATATCCATGAATTGTCACTTATTGATAAGTCTGGGGGGGGGGTGGAGCCACCACAGACACAATAAAATTCTTTGAATACATTTCCTTGTCAGAATCAGGATCACTTTCGTCTTTTCAGATACAGTATTCAAAATTCATGGCTCTGGGACTGACCCATGGGAAAAAAAGTATAAGAAAAAAAAAGAAAAGCATTTTCTCTTTCAAATTTATGGAGATGTGTGAACCACATAGGTGTGTAAATAAAATTCTTCATTGGAGACATCCCAGATTACTTTTATAAACTGTTTTTTTCTCATTTATTGAAAATATTTAGATTTAATCAGAAGAAAATCTTAATTGAGAAGATTTTATAGAAACAAAACAAATGTTAAGCAAAGTTAACCAAAATTAACATTTCTCTTATTGTGAATATCCATTAAGACACTGTATAACACATCAGTACTTAAAATAATTTGTTCACCTTCACTTTAGCATGCTGTACAGAGAAGGCACTCGGAAAATATTTTTTAACCTACATTTGTTTGAGGTGACATAGTAGTTAGGCAAAGCACAAAAAATCTAACAGAATTGGTTGCTAAATGAAGAAACAAGGAGTTAAGAGGAGTCCACATTATCAAACACCAAAAGAAGTAGAGGAATAATACTCAGGTATATGACTATTAGCACATTTGTACATTGATTTTTAATTTTGGGCTCAACCAACCAAAAGGGAGATGGAATTGGTCAATAGAGTGGATGTTCTTGTTCTGAATAACTACCTAGATTCTGCTGAGCTGTAGTTACGTACCTCTCATCTAGATTTGTAGCTCTAGTTCTAATCCGATGTTAGTAATGTTACTAAAGGGCAGAAGCAATTTAAGCTTAAAATATGTACCACCTATATGACTCTGAAGCGTTGACTGTTTTTGTTAAGCTATATACAAGCTAGACAAGTCATGATTACATTTTGAAACAAATACATCTTTAGAAAAAAAGCAGTATATATGAGCCAAGAGAAATATTAAATATTAATTTGGGTTTTGGTTCTAATGTGTGAAACACTAGAGATCAGAATCACTTCTGATAAATGCCATGCACACTCCTTGTTGAATTTGTTTTTCAAACTCAATCTTAAACTCTTATGCTTCAAAATTTATTCATTTTTCTTTTTTATTTATTTATGTATACGAGTGCTCTGTCCTCCTGTAGATCTGCAGGACACAAGAGGGTACCAAATCTAATTATAGATGGTTGTGAACCATGATGTGGTTGCTGGGAATTAAGTTCAGGACCTCTGGAAGAGCAACCAGTGTTCTTAGTCACTGAGCCATCTCTCGAGCCCCTATTCATTTTTCTTAACGTCATACCAATTAGAATTTAACATAGCACAGAACTGAGGAAATCTCACATGAAGGGCTAGAATAACCCGAACCAATGTGCTTCACTCTCTCCGAGCAGCTCCACACCTTCCTGATGGGTCACAAGGGAGTGGAGCAGAATAGAAAAGACTTGTATGTGTCTAGATAACTGAGTTCTCCCCTTTTAGTTAGTAATACCCACTGAAAATCTCTGCTCCTGAAAATCACAGCAAAATGCAAGCAGCAAAGCCAGAGCGGGCATTTATGGGGTGTCTGGAAAATGCTTGCAGTTGGCTGGGGTTTGGCAAACACTAAGTCTTTGGCGGGTGTGAATGCTCCAAATGCAGGGCTGTGGCGTGCTGTTTTTATTTTTTTCTTCTTTTTTGAAAGGATTCAGTCATTTAAAGATCTTTTATGCTTATGATTAACTTAAATATATGAACATCCTATATTAAAACAGGAAAGATTCCGTTTGTAACTTCAGAAAGAGATATTGTAAAGCACTAGCCACTTGCATACTAGATAGTTCTAGAAAAGGGGGATGCTAGTTTCTCAAACACCCAAGGGCCATTTTCAGTGTTCTGGGTGATAACAGAAATACTAACCAACTCTGCAGAAGTCTCCTTCCCAGCCTGGACTGCAGCAGCACTTGCCCGTGGGGGTGTAGTAGCCATTCCGACAGAGACGAGAGCAATCCGAGGTCAGGGTCTGTGCAGGTTGAACTGTGACTCTGCATTCCTCAGGCATTAAAGGTCTTCACCCGAAAACAAGAGTGGACATTGCATGTCAGTTGAAAATTAGTATGATGAAATTTAGTCGTCTTATAGCTTACAAAGGTTGTCTGCTGCTTTCAAAAGAGATCTTTTTTTGCAAGTGACACAGTTAACTCACAACTTTGGAAGAACAGAAAAATATACCAGTGATGTGGGATAGCCTAAAAAACCTTATCAAAATTCTCCATTAAAAAATAGAAGACTAACACAGCTCTTTTGTATTTGTTAGCTTCAATTCTAGAAACTGTAATTTTAAATTTTGATTTGACGGCATGTATCTTTGCTGTGTGTGTGTGTGTGTGTGTGTGTGTGTGTGTGTGTGTGTGCGCGCGCAGTTCTTGTGTGTAGGTCAGAGGTCAACCTGTGATGTCAGCTCTCTCTTGTCACCTTTCCATGGGTTCCTAGGATGGAATCCACGTCACTAGGTTTGCTCAGCAGGTGCTCTTACTCACCGCGCCTGCCTTCTGCCAGCCCTCAGACCGCAATGTTAAAAATCGAAGGACGTGCATATCTTGAAGCTTCCTTCCGCCCAGACCCACGAACACTCCTGGGATGGTCCTCGGGAGTTGCTCTTGTTATTGGGCTAGCTGGCAATACTACAGGGCCTGTTCTGTCCATCACAGTGAGCACTGGCTGCCTAACAAGCGGGAATGAATCCCTTCTGTTCTGCCCTTCTCTTCTCTCTTCTTTCTTTTTTAATAGTTGTCGGGGTCAAACCCAGGGCTTTGAACACATTAGGTGTGAGTTCTGCTGCTAAGCTGCTGATTGTTCTCCTTTCTGCTCCCCACAACCTTGTCTTTTGGGGCAGGGTCTTCTAGCATTTCTCTCTTTTTCTGTCTGTCTGTGTCTGTCTATCTGTCTCTCTCTCCCTATCTCTTTTTGGGGCAGGGTCTCCTAGTATCTCTCTCTTTGTCTGTGCCTGTCTATCTGTCTGTCTCTCTGTGTCTCCTTTTGGGGCAGGGTCTCCCTATCTGCTCTCTTACTTTTGGGGGAGGCTCTCACTGTGTAGCTCAGGCTGGCCTCAGCTTTGTTTCATAGGTTGGAAAGCCTCTAGCTTTGGCCTCTCAGTTGCCAGGATTCCAGCTGTGTACCACTGCACTCAGATCATTTACATTTATTTTGAGATAACAGCCTTCCAATTCCTTCTCTTTGAAAGACATCCTAATATGCAGGGGAGTATTTACACCACTGAATAAATATCTAAACTATTAATGCAAAGAAAGACATGTATAGGATGAGATTTTATGAATTATATAAAGTCAAATTATTTTCTTGTCATATAATAATTTTATTGGCCCCTATTATGAAGAGAAATAACATTAATAATAGCAAGCACAAATATATCATTTGCAATGTGAAACTTTATGTATTTCGTATTAATTGTTTTATACTACTGCCATTTTTAGAGAAAACTAAGCCATCAAAGGTTTTTAATGATTCTTCTGCTTTTCTAATGCTGTCATTCAAACAAGATCAAGCTGGCATCATAGTTTCAAATGTTCATGACCTAATATTTAGGGGAAAAGTATTCAGTGTTCCTCTCCTATCCTCACTGGTTTCCATGTTACCACATGGTGAGAAGGACCTTCCAGTAAAGAGTCTAAACAGATGTCATTAGACTGTCATGTGCTTCCAGAGTCTAGGTTTAGCCACAAAAACTAGGGCTTTCCTAGACAGTAAGATTCTGTTTTCTTAAATTAGTCATCTCCTCCTGCCAAAAGGAACAGTGATCAAATTTGGGGGTTTTCTGTAATGATCTAAAATCATGTATTAAAATTTCAAATACCAAAGATGTGTAGAAACTTCTATATCTCCTTTCATCAATAAAAGTCCTACTAGGCTAGAGTTAAACACCCAAAGTTCTCTCTGTTTCTTTCTTGTACAAAACTCTTACTTTATTTGTGAGGCAATGGTGTTTCTGATCACCAACAAAGCAAGTTTCAGGAGCCTTGAAGCTCATTATTAAACAGAATGTGTTATACACACTAAGTGTAACTTTTTCAAATGAACTCCATGAAGACAAACTTTTCTCTCTTGGTAGCTCATAAGGACATAGAAGAACATGTGGCCCATGGAAATGGTTAATGAAATCTGGATGAGTTTAATAGACCGGGTGTTTGAAAGTGTGTCTTTTCCCACGCTACTGAGTAGAGATATTAGGAATATATGGGCTACGGAGGGTCTCATTATGTAGCCCTGGGTAGTCTGGAGCTCACTATGAAGCCTGGGCTGTCTTTAGAGTCACAGAGACCTGCCTATCTCCCTTTCCTTAGTCCTGGGATTAAGGGTGTGTACCTCCACACTGGACCAAGCTGATATACTTTCATATCATCACCATAAAACTCAAAAACATTTGCTGCATTTTTTTATTGCCTAACAATTCTTACTTATGGTATAGTTACATTGATCACAAATCATGTTTTTATGTGAACTACAATATTAGTACATCAAAGGCTAAAATGTCAAGGTCAGCATGTCTTGAAGACAGGGATTTGTTTCCTTGTCCAGAGAGGAGGTGAGTCAATGTATTAAAAATTCATTTCTCTAGGAAGATATTTGATAAAGTATGACAAAGGTCTTTGGTAAAGTCAAGCATTCCTTCCTCTCCCCATGTGTTTGCTATGACAGCCTCCTTTCCAGTAAAATAAACCGGATCCTTTACATGGGCCGAAGAAGAGGAGGGGCAAAGTAGTGCATGAATACTACCTAACTATACCTAGATGACAGCTAAGCAAAAACTGATAGTATTTGCATCCATCATATAACTAATTTTAATACTTATTTTCATTGGGCTAGAAAATTGTGTGTTTAGTATATAATCTAATTAGAATCATTGGAATAGTTTTGTTCTTTTAAACAATCATTTTTTTTAAGCCTCTGGACTCCGAGTTTTACTGAATGGACTCAGAAGTAACTTTCAAAATAGAAAAATGTAGTCAACAGGGTGTTTGGGTTTGCAATAAAAAATATATTGAGCCTATGTGTTGACAGCTATCCCGACAGCCCTTAAGCTTAATTTGAATCAGAAAAACATATTTCCTCATCTCCTCACAGGACAAATAACGAAACACTGAGGGACTATCACAGAGAATTGCCCAACATTCTTTAATATAGAAAATATTGTTTTCAGAAAGTTAAGACGTTTTCTTAGAAACTCACTTTGGCTGGCTTTGTGTAGTGGTGCACAGGTTTGGCTCCTTCTTTGAAATGAGGAGGGACAGTGGGAAGCATGGGTTATTTACAACACACATTGTCTGTATTGACTTTCTGTGACTAGAAAAGGCCAGCAGTGGCTGTCTCTGGGTAGTGGGACTCTGGGTGGTTTTAATTTAATGGCACTTAATTAAATGAATGAACCAATAAATTAATAGATGAAACATCTGTCAGCTTGTGTTGAAACACTGTGATGAATCCTGTCCTGAATGAGTAGTGTTGACATCCACTTTGTACCTTCAACAAAAGTTCATTCTAATTTTTTCAAAGGTATACACATTTCAAATTCATTCTGTTGCAAAACCAGACATGCGGATCTTAAATACTACTTATTTATAAAATAATGTAGGTCTTAGTGACTTCCTAAAGGGGGAGGGTGACATAAGAACTGTCTCACTTCTTTACCCACAGTCACTTTGGAGCTCATGGCCAAGTGTCCCCTAGCCACTGTCACACTTAGGAAACTGTTTCTCCCCCATCATTTTCCCGTTTTCAATAGTTAAGAGAAATCAGTTGTCTATAAACCTTTGTTGCTCACAGTCTAGTATCAAATGACAACTAGCAGGATGGTGGGCGGAGTCAGACCTAATGAATTCAAACACCATTCTCATTGGGGGCCATTTCCTAGCCAGGAGCAACTAATTTGGTCATTAGTTAGTGTGTTTGGGAACTTCTGTACAGAAAGCTTTGGGATCTTATAATTGGGTGGCGTCTGTTCTCAGCAGAAGAGGTAGCCATCTTGCTGATCACAGCAGCTGATCCTATGGCTTAGTGAATTCTCCAACAGCGTGATACTCTGCAATCACCCTTACCACTCACTGTGTCTAAAGGCAGCTTCAACTCTTCCACTTCAAGAGGGCTAGGGGAGGGAAATTGCTTATGACTGTGTAGATCTGACTGATACCCATTTGTCTAAGACAAAGCAGAGAAAAAAAAGTGCTGTGTTATCTTGTAAAAATCTTGTTTTAGTGTTGTTTTCCAAGGTCAATACACAAATCAATTGTTTTTCTTCCTTATAATGGTCTATTGTCTGGTTAGTCAGGGTAGCATTTTTCTTTTACAGGGTACTCATGGGGATAGAATTCCAGAGTGCAAAGGACTGGTCACAATGTTGTGTGACTATCCACAGGTACTGTGTAAGTTTGAAGTTCACCTTGACAATTAACCAATTCAGTTAGGCTGTGAGGACTCTTCCTCATCTGGAGCACAATCATATTCCAGGTAGAACAGAAAGATGGACTCTTCCTGTGTGACCAGGAAACAGCTGTCTTCCTTGGACATGGAGTCCATGTGAATAGGAAGAGGTGTTTTAATGGTGCTCTTCTCTTTGGAGCCCAAGGAGATACTGAATGATTTTTGAGGTGTGGAGTCTATTCTGGTTTCCAGCAATTCCTGAGTAACTGACATGCACCACAAAGGGGAGGGCAGACTTCCATTCAAGAATAACTGTAATTTTGTATAGGTCATATTATACACAATCGCACTGCAAGTTTTTAGTTTGTACTGTGTTTCCTAAAGCTATAATTTAGATAAATAGGGTCAATGTCCTATGTTATTTCTAAACAGTAGCTAGAAACTTCTGCTCCAAAACACATGGAACAAAATGAGCAGTCTTCTCTGACTGGGTCCATTCTGTGGGCTCCTGGGGTCTTCTCCCTCACAAAGCAGACCCACCGGCTTACCTGACATGCTCACTAAGAGGGCTGAGTGGCACTAACAACTATTAATGTGGTGATGGTCCAGTCACCACCTGAATCCACAAATATCT